TCTCTCAGCTTCCCCCTCCACGACCCTCTGCTGCCTCCAGCCCTCCTGTTATTCCAGCTTCTCTACTCTGTGTTGACAAAGTATGGTCTGTAAATCAGCTGCCACTGAGCCAAGGTTAGAAGAACTGCTATTTGAACCGAGAGTATAGTCATTTCAAACAGTCAGCAGTTTACGTTTACCAGTAAATCTGAATTTCAGCCCTCACCTGTGGTCATGAACTTTCATGAGCTTTGGGTAGTGACCAGAAGAATGAACTGATTCACTGTGGTATGAACTGGTGGGAAGTCATAATCTCTTCTTTCTTTTCTTATCCATAATCTGCTTCAACATTCGCTTACTTCCATCACACAGTACCTTAAAAATGAATGTGAACAGACTCACGTCCGCGACATCCATGCTACCGATTTCTTCGTTCTCATCCGTGAACTGCGTGATGTGTGTGATGTTTTGTTGCTGTTCTGTGCATGTGGGTCACATCAGGGCCATGAGCAGTTCTTGCTGGAGTCTGATCGTGGTCACATTTTGAAAGCTAATGTGAACGGCCACAGAATACACATCAAATATGGGGAAAAAAACTGGAATTGAGCACTAAGGCTTGCAGTGTGAATGCAGTGAAAGAGTGAGCAGTGGAAAGTACACGCTGTTCTCTAAGTGATGTCTCAATGAAAATCTCCGTTTCTCAGATAAAGGAGCAGGCAGGCGGCTGCTGTTGTCGCACCCTACTGTCTGCATTTCCCCCTCTCCCTCGCCTGTTCTGTGTCTCTTTGAATCAACCAGTGTTGCTCAAATGTTAATCAAGTTTTTTCAGAAGATGATGAAGCTTCTGGTAAATATTAAAATTCACTAGCAATATCAGTTTCCTTTGATCGCCTGTGATGGTGAATTTTTAAAGGCTTATTTGCACTTTATGGAGCTGGCTCCTGTTCTCCCCAGTAATCACCGTTGCTCACATAAGAAAACACTGCCATGCTGTCCTCCTGTTCAAGTTGAACATTTCAGCCACAGCAGTCTGCATTTTCTAGACTAGGCCCTGGAAACTGGCCTATAATGATACCGTTGTTGCAGCCTTACTCCACTGATATTTGAACCTCCACCCTCGGCTCTTTGTGGCTGACTCTCTGATCGATTTAAATTAATGAATAATCAGCTCACTGGTCGGCTAAGTGACCAAATAAGGTCTTTCTAGAGTCAGTCAGGACTCAAATATTCTCACTTTTCTCAGATGTCAGTCCCTCATCAGTTCTGTCTCAGTCTTTGTTTCTTCTGTCAGCCAGCAGTGCAAGTCAGGATTGTCATGGTAGGATTAGACGCTGATGACAGGTGACTAAAGTAACTGTATACCTGCTCATGCTGTCGGCTGACTAAGCAGATAGGATAACAGCTTTGTATATCTTCTATACATGGAGCACTAAGGCTCTGTGAATAGAGTTTACTGTGTCAGTGCTAGTGGAGCATGTGCTGTAGACTCGGCTACACAGAGTCCTAACTCTGTTTGAGTTTATGAAACGTCTAAAATAAAGACGCTCACAAGTTCCCAAGCCCAGCACTGATAAATGAACCGATCCTGGACATGTATTTGTTAAACGTTTGGTATTTTTTACTTCATGAATGATTCTGCAGTTACTAAATTAGTTAATTAATCTTCTGCCAGCTGTCTCACGTATGAATTACCACAGATAATCAACCATTATTTTAGGTACAACCTGACTGATGATGGATTTTGATATTTGAAAAATGAAATGACAAAATATTGGTCTACAAATTTTTTTTCAAACATGTATGGATACACATTTTTCAAAACAAATATAGTGTATTTGGTTATTAGAGAATTGTCACAAATGTATTCAAGAGGACACCACAAATAATGTAAAGGAGATATTTTTATATTAACCCAAAAACATCTTTGTACAGTTTTCATTTTTTTTTGAGGAACTTTTATGCTGAAACCACGGCACCTGTGAGAAGCTAATACGTTGAACAAGTGAAAGAAGAAATGCTGAAATGAAGATTAGCCCTTATCCAACTAAAGGTCTCTAACACATAAACATACTAACAGGTGATCGACCTGTTCTGAGCAGCTGTCTGTGGCGATTGCATTTCAAACGTTACAAAGAAGAAAAAAAAAAGACTCAAAGTGCAGAAAGGGGTCCAGGGCTGATGTATGTGTATTGGAGTCGGTGTGGATCGACTCAGTTGATAGATTGGAAGTCTCTGCTTAATGAGACGAGCGAGTGACAGACCCACAGATAAACGCTGCGATGACAGTATTGCGGAGATTGTCACATCTGTCCACCATTTCAACAGGGAGAACAGTCATTTGTGCATAATTGGATTGTTTTGCAGTCGCACCCAGAAAAAATTCAAGTGCACCATAAATAAATTTGGCCGCAAAATGCGCCTGATCTCTCGCTGTCTGGAGCCCTGGCTTATGTACAAAAATCTCTCTGAAGTCATCTAACTGGGCTCGAGGACATTATTTATTTATTTTACAAATGCCTGATGTTTTAGGGACCAAGCAACTAATTAGTTAATCTAAAAATAAACAGAAGAACAATTGCCAATAGAAAGTAATTGTCAGTTGTAGTTGAAATGTACTGCAGTTTATACACATAAGAAGCCATCCAGCCAGATGGTACTTGACAGGTGTTTTACTAGCAGCTGTTTCTGGGAACCCCTGTGGGTGACTAACCCCTGTGGGTCCCAGGACCCTAATTTAGAAACCACAGCTCTAAAGCTTTCAGTATCAAGCTGCAGTGAACCCTGATACTCTTGTCAGGAATATTTTGTCTGCGAGAGGCTGTGACATTCCTGGCAGTCACAACAAATCCTGGCAGAATTTAACGTTTAGGCGAGAAGTGTCGAGGGAACAAGAGCTGCACTGACTGAAATACAAACAGCAGAGACATTTTACATTGTATCTTTTGGTTTGTCCAGAGTCACTGCTCAAGTCGAATAAACTTCATTTCTTAGATACCTGACTTTACACGGAGGATGTTACTGACGAATAACATGTCCTGAACCAAATGGTCCTGGTTGACACGTGCTATCACACATTGTGAATATAGAAAGCATAAATGTACACACATGTAATAAGATGCCAGTGGAGGAGCTGTGAGGTGCAGGAGATCTGATTCCATATAATTCAAAGCAGATTTATATGAGAGGCAATTTTTCACAAATAGATTTTTAAAAAAGATTAATACAGTGAAAAACCCCTCGCATGAGCCGACGTTTTAGAAAGATTACAGTGTGTTATGAATGCCTTCATATCAAAACACTATCGTATCTAGAAATGACTTGCTGCCTAAAATGGACTATTAATCACTAGATATTACCAGTTTAGTAACCACTAACGATTTCAGCTCCAAATACATTGCTCAGCTACAAATGCTGTAAAATGACATAAGTTCTATCTACAGTGCTTTTTTAAATAATTTTTATTTGTGAGCTTATGTTTGGTTTTTTCCTTCTAAATCTCAGTACAAATTCTTTTCCAGCCACAGCCTACTTCCACCACAGGGATCAGTAAAGTTTCTGGAGTGCAGTCTTATCCCAGGTTCACTGTTAGTTGTTCACTAGAGACATTCGGCCGTTCACCTGCAGTATTTCATCATGCAGTGCTAAATCCATGCAGCTAGTAAACCTGTCAGCCCTGTGGCGTGCGCATGCCTGGCTAGCTGTGTTTGGAGCTAAGAGGCTAATGGTGTGGTGTTGGGGGTTAAATTGTCCCCTCTCTGGTGGACCAGCAGAGACAAAAGGACGGATGGGGTAACAGGGTTGAGGAAAATAAAGAGAAAGTGGGATTCGGTCCTTTGTTTCAACAGCGATTTCCTGCATTTTTAATTCAGTAAGCAGAACACTGTTAGTCACAGCTGTTACCCAAGGTCAGAGCCTGCAGCCTGAACCAGCCTCAGGTTATGTAATCAGCTGTTACACAAAACAGACATGGAAGCAGCTTTTACCCCCTAAAGAAGGAATGTGTTTTCATCTCTGTGGAAGAATGCCATAAAACTAGTTTTTCCTTATGTGCAGCTTTTCAGCACCTTTAAGTGATGATGTTTGTTATGTTTGACACTTGCTAAGAAGTCTTAATGTAACTAATTAATAAAACAGTGCAGTTATTTAGTTTCCATTAACACGTTGCACAAGAGTTAGAGGAATTAGTGATTTCAGCAAAGTATAAAGTGATTCAGTGTGTGTTGAAATCAGCTGGAGGTGATGAAATGTAGGGCCTAAAGGATCGGTTGATTATTTGATTAATCAGCTGACAAAACCATTTTGTTCTTTTAAAGCAACACTACAGAATAATAGCTAGTTCCAGCTTCTCAAATACGATGATTTGAAGGTGTTTTTGCCTTATGTGATACAAAACTGAATATTATGTGGTTCTGAACTGCTGACCAGACGAATCTCAGTCATTTGAAGACATCCCCTTTGTCTCTGGGAAATTGTGATGACATTTTAAATACCAAACAATTCATAGATTAGAACAAGAAGATGATCCTTTCTACTTTTTTCTTATTTTTTAAATGAAATAATTTGTCTTGTTGTTCTTGTACACTGTTTTCATATTATCCTGTGGTGTTACGTGCACTCCTGCTGTTCTTATTCTGGGTTTTTTTTTTTTTTTTTGGTCTTGCTGGTGTAGTAGAGGCCTGGAAATAAACCAGTTAACCAAGTGAAACCCACGTCAGTTTGAACAAGAGTTGTGGCTCTGTGATAATAAAACTGTTCCTCTGTCAGATCAGTTTTGTTAGGATTATATGTATCTACACATTCCAGTGCTGTGCAGAGAAATACGTGACAGGTTTAATTAAGGCTAATACTTTAATAACAGCTCTAGTACCTTCATTAAGGCCTTAAGCTCTTCAGGGTTATTCCTAAGAAATACATAACTGTTACAGCTTCAGGGTGAATAACTGATGAAACAGTGCTGTGATCAGACTTGTGTGGTGCAGTTGGTGGCTCAATCTTGTTTGTGTTCTTTGTGTTTGCTGCAGGCCAGTTATCCTACATGGGAGGACTTTGTAACCAAAGGGGCCAAGCTACAATCACAGCTCAGGTAAGACACATGCACACACACTTAAACTCCACAGGTAATCACTTTCTCTCTAACTGATCCCACTGGCCAGCAGGTCATTCAGCCATTGACCCCCAGGGCTGTACCTACACTACCAGTCAAATGTTTTAGGACACCCCCATCTTTCCAGTTGTTAATAGTGTCATTTACCAGCTGAACACATCTGTGATATTCTTTCAGCAACTGAAATCAACTGAACTGTTTACATGTCATCGAAAATAGGGGGTGTTATAAAGCATTTGACTGTTTGGGGAAGAAAAATTGAAAAAAATATAAACAGATTTGCATGAAGACAAAGAACTAAAACATATTAATCTTGGTCCTAATTCAATAATAACAATAATATCCCAATTGTCAGGTATTGCTGGATCAGAACTAGCTCATAAGACGTGCTATCTTACCATGTTTGAAATGAAATGTGTTTAAGGTGGCAGTTAGTACACTGGAGATGCTCATTAAATACGTTTCATTTTTATAAGAATACATATATTTTATATGAAAGAGTGACTTTGCTCTTTTTCCCTAAAGTTTAATGTGTTTTAAAGGATAACAGCTCACAGTCTGTCATGTGTCTACAAAATATCCTTAATGCTGCATTAAGTAAATTTTCCACACTGTTTGATAAATTGACACTCCAGCCTCTCTACCCTGTGTTTTAAAAGTAGAGTTTATAAATCAGCCCCACCTGCCACCTAGCCAAGGTTATAAGAAGTGCTTTACGAACCATGAGCAGTCATTTCAAACAGCCGACCATAGAGGAGCTCTGGGCAACTAAAGGTCTGAGCCAGTGGCTGCCAGAGTGAAGAGGTGGTGTCTTTTGCACAGAGACAGTGGGACAAAGAAAGAGATAAAACCAGGGTTAACATCAGTTTGGCTTTTTGAGATGGAGAGGGTTAACATCTAAGGCTAATCAAGCCTTAGATTGTTGCTAGGCAACGGGATGTGATGGGAGAGGCAAGGAGTTTTTTGGGGCGGCTTATGGTGTCAGTTTGTTTTGAGTCTCACTAGACCCTCTAGGCTGAAACACGAGTAGCAAGTAGCTTTAATAAAAATACTCTAGTTATTGTTATACACTGTATTTTACATGAAAGATGCATGTTCTGACTTCGACACAGTCACCCAGTAGCTGACTCCATGTAATAACAGTATAGTTGTGGCGGCTGTGGGTCCTAGGAAGGCAGTTTATTGTGATAAGCATCACTCTGCGTGCTGCAGCCAGCCACAGTCCATTAGCTCTGCCAGTCAGCCTGCTACACACAGAGGCAGGCACAAAGAGGACATCCGCGTTCTTCAAACTGCTCTAATGTTTAATTCTACTTCAAAGATTGGCCTCAGATAATTGGCACACATAAAGCCCTCTAATGCCCTTTCAAATATGAAATATAAAAACAAACATGTTCAGGGATTAGTTTTTATTGTTCAGGAAATGAATCTTTATATAGTTCAGCTGAGTGAACATTATAGGGATATGACTTTCTAGGCTTTAGTTCATTCGTCCGAGCTTCTTCACCAGAACGTTATAGTTTGATAAAGTCTAAACAGATTCGGTTTATTAGCTTTTTATCAAAGAGCTGCTCAGGCTAGAAGAGGACTTCACATGATCCATGAGTCACTGTAGACAATTCTTATATACTTAACTGTGGCCAGAATGATGGACTGGAGTCATGAGTGGATCAAATCCTGTAGAACCAAGCACAAATATTGCAGGCATGAATTTAAACACAGTGACTGATAGGAGGTTTAACTATCCTTGAAAATGCACTTCCACCCAGTAAACATGGGACCAGTTCAGTTAAGTTCATGATATCAGTTAATAATGTCTCCTCATTCAGATTGATGCAACAGCCAGTCGCACAACTGGCTCAACCCTCTGTGTTTTTGACTGACAGAGACATTTTTATGAAAAGTTGCAATATGAAAAATAATGTCTAGAATGACCTGCAATAAACTGTGACCGCAAAAAGAGGTAGAAGGATGTTGTATCTCATCTAGAGAGCTGTAAAGTTTTATTAGATTATTTCATTGTCTGTATTTGTGCATATGATTTAGTATTTTATGAGACTTTCTATTTTAAATCCTCTGCAGTTGACTTATGAAACAGCTGAGTTATTGTATTGGCATCTTTTTGTCTGTTGTTTCCCCAGCAGGATGAGGCAGATAGATTTTTCTAGAAAATGCTGAATGCAGAAGTTGTGCAGTCTGGTGTGGGATTTTAAAAACATCCTCAGTTCAGTACCTGAACTTTAAACCAGGTGAACAACAACACGCCAGAGCTTCTCTCAGGACTGCAGTGGGATTTTTAGTGGCTTTTTGAGGACTGTTGAGATTTCCTGCAATGCCACCAGTGTTCAAGCAGTCAGGGATCTTGTGCCATGTCGTCTTTGTAAGTCAGAACTGGAATTGTTATTCTTCACTACATGCAATGCAAATGCCAACTTTTAGAAGATTGTGTGTGTGTTTGCACTTTTCAACTTTTCAAGTCTTTGGTCTTAATATGAAAGAGAATTTCCACTGAGGTCAGACACACACATACAAACTATTGACAGCAGTGTCATCTGATCTTCTTGGTTTTCAGGGGGTTATGTTGGTGTGTGTGTGTGTATGCTCATGCTCATGCACAGCTATAGAAACATTGACCTGTCTGGTGATGGAGCACACACACAGACAATAGGTGCATTGATGATGAGGACGTGTGTGTCCAGTTACACTCCTAACACTGGCCTTTGATTGCGACCGGCTTCTCATGTGGCTCCACCGGTCCTGCTTCCAAAATAAAAGTTTGTGATGCCTTCTGCTACAGGCTGTGATCCGCCTGCTGCTGTGTTGCTTTGATCTGAAGCAGAGAAGAAATCTTTTGTGTTTTCTTTGTTTTGGTTCACTCTGCTCGCTTATAAGCAATCAAGTCTCGCAACTCGCAGCGTAACCTGCCATCCATTCTACAAGAGTCAGAAAATCTGATTGGGTTAATCAGAAGCAATGGTGTTCTTCTCTGGTGGCACTCCAGTTCACCTCATCAGCAGCACTGTACAGCTGATGACTTTATGTAGCCTGTTAAAACTGAGCAATGCTGCCATGGTTTTAGGTTTTCTATTCATTTGATTCACCTGTTTTTTTTTCTGAGACGTGTACAAATCCAGATATTCAGAGTACTTCTTGTGTATTTGATGGTGTCATTCATCTCACAAACACTAGTTTGTGTCTGATTCAGGACGACCATCGTGGTGACCGGAGCCTTCCTGGATGCTTTTCAGAAGGTGGCAGACATGGCGACCGGGACCAGAGGTAAATACACACACACACAGAAACACAGGTACACACTGCACACACTGTCATGTTAACACAATACAGGCACACAAAGTTTGGATTGTGTTTTGGCCTGGACTCATCAAGAAGGGCAGAAGGTCGCCGGTTCACTTCCCGACCAGCAAGATTAAAAATCTGGGTGGGTCAGGTGACAAAGCCACGCTTGCCACACCTTCATTGCCACCACTGTGGTGCCCTTGAGCAAGGCAGTTAACCCCATCTCCTCCAGTGGAACAGCTCAGTGGCCAGCGGGTCAGTCTGTGGTTGTACTGGGAAGCTTCCCTGTGTTAATGTGTTCGGGACCTTCCTGCAAAAGAGAGATGACCTCTCAGAGAACCTACTCCATCTAAATAAGGGTTAAAAACACGGAATACAGCTATTCTGAGGTTTGTGTGTATGCATGTGCACATATGACCCAAGAGAAATGTTTTCCCTCCTGATCTGTCTGTACCTTCCTTACTTCCCACAGTGTGAGCGTTCACTGTCTGTCTTTTCATAAATACTATATAAATAGTGAGGATTCATGAGGGACCTAATTAGCCGCTCCACTCTCTCTGGAGTAGGTGTTGTCTGTGTGTGTTTATTATAATATAGAATCCATAAAGCACTGTGCTACTGGAGAACAAAATGGGCCAAAAATATATGTTGGGGGGCGTAAGAAGGACCACATAACGCCAGTACTGGCATCTCTCCACTGGCTTCCGGTGCGTTTTAGGGTTCGTTTTAAGATTCTTTTATTTGTTTATAAATCCTTAAATGGGCTGGCACCATCTTATCTTGTGGAACTTTTGCGTCCGTATAATCCGTCGCAGTGCCTCAGATCAGCAGATCAGCTTCTTCTGGAGGCACCAGGCGGAAAACTGGGGGGGGGTAGAGCCTTTGCTGTGGTAGGTCCAAACCTGTGGTCATTGGCGTTTGGCCAGGAATGAGACTCTGTCTGTAGTGTTAGTGTTTATATTATTGTTTATAGCTTTTTATGTGTTGTTTTTATATTTGTATGATATGTTAAGTGCTTTGGTCAGCTGTGCTGTGGTAAAGCGCTTTATAAATAAAGTTGAGTTGAGTTGAGAGCCCATTTTCAGTACATCTAGTTTTGTCTTTATATTTGTCTGTCTTTTGTGCTTTCATGCCAGATTACTTTGGTTATTTTTGGGTTATTTGTCTCCATAAAACTTTTTCCTGTCTTTCTCTCTGTGTCTGTGAAGTGGCACAGTGAGACCTCGTGTGCAGTTGTCTTGTTTTACCCTGGATTAGGTTACACACATTCACATTTGCACATGCACACTTCATACTGCAGCCAGGGGTAGCCTCTGGTGCTCTGACATTGTAGGAAATGCTCTCGTTTGTCAAGTATATGGGTGTACACCAAACAGCTGTTTCTGGTATTTAGCCTAACCTCATTGATATACAGTAAACGGGGTGGACAAAAAGATAGAAACATCTCTCTTTGTGATGCAGTGCAGCTCAACAGTAGCACAAATGACCTCTTCTAAAATGATCATTCAGTTGAATCAACACCTCTCTTGAATAGTTTGAACTAAACTTCACCTTCCTAAAGGAGAATCTATTGTGGGACAGCTTTTGGCTGGGTGTACTTAATAAACTCACACCCTGAAAGCTTACTAGACTAGACAATAAATACGCGGAGGATGTGGACACAGACTGCCACTGTATTCAGAACCGCACTGCCTGTGTGTTGTAGTTAAGACAGCTGCTGGTGTGATTATGTAACACAGAAGTCAGTTAGTATTTAAAGGAAATCCAGTCACATGTGGGTTTGTGTGAGATGAATCATGGCCGCTCCCCTCCTGGGACGCCTCAGCAGACCTGCTCTGCCATGTCTTATTGCATAATGTTTATCAAAACACAGGGAACACACATAAAGTAACAACATTAAATATTTATAGATTTATAATATAATAGACTTAGCTGCTGGCAAAATTGTACCTGTGGTGGCTGTGCAGGTTAACAGTTCAAGAGATGTAACACTGGCAGAACAGACTTGTGAACAACAATATAGGGGATAATGTGAAATAAACATCAGGTCACATTCTGCAGCTCATGACATCAGCTGAAACATAAGGTGTCATGAGGCATCATCGTGCATGTCACATTGCAGGACGTACATTATAGTTCACCAGCAAGACAGTGTGCAGTCACGCACAGAGCTGTCAGCACTTAGACAAGTGTTTACTTCTCTCTCTGTGTGTTTAACATGCACTCATGCATATACTTCTGCACTGGTAAAACCTGCAAAGCCCCATAGAAGTCATCAGTCACTAGGGTCTCACTGGCTCGTCGCTTGAACCTGTCAACATGCCCTCAAGCAAGGCACTGTGCTTCCCTGCCTGCTGCTGAGGCGGTCTTATAATTCTGAGCAGACTGAGAACAGATCGACAAAGTTTTTGGTTGTTTTTTTTGCAAACATTGCTGCAAAACGAGTTAGGGCAGCTGGTTGTGAATTATTAGTGTGAAACATTTTACTTTTTCAAAACTACTTTGGACTGCTACTACTACTAGAACTACATGGATACTTTGTCTTTAGAAACAGCAAAGAATTAGGATTCTGTAACAATAAAACAAGAACCAACTGCACAGTGTTGTTAACCTCAGTTCTAAAATGATTATCAAAACACAAAGATCTCTAGTAGAATTTAGCATCGAACAAGTCCTCCAAGTCAAAAGGCGCAGAAGCTCTTGACACTTGTTTCTCTTTTTTGCAGCCCTAGTACAATTTGCATCATGGGCTTTAGAGTTATGGGACTGAGATCCAAAGCCAGCTTTTTAAAACCTGACCTGGTTGAGCTTGGCATGGCTGAGTTTGATACCCAAGACCTGAGGCTGCATTTTTGTTTTATTTCATCCATTCCCGTCTATTCAGCCTGCAGATGCAGTACAGTTTCCACCTTCCTATCAGACATTCTGTGTCCTCGCACCACACCTGTGGACACAGACAGAAAGAGAACGAAGGAAATAAAAAAGATAAAATCAGTCTAAACCTGAAATCAGCCTGAAGCACTCTATTACCCCTTTTCACCCAACAGAGAACTAGTTTGGTTCCTGTTTGCGGACCAAGTTTTGTGGGGAACCGCACACCGTGATGTATCACTGGAAATGACAGAACGCATCAGAGACAACCGACAAGATGGTGGACTGCGTGATATATCTGCAATGTTTTGTTACTTTGATGGAAGTTTTTACATTAATCTGCACAAACTACCTACAACCAGGCAGCACACTTCGTCTCCATGTTGTTGCTGCTGCTGCTTCTGCTCAGTGTTGCTTCTTGCTGTCACGGGTGTTGTACATGCCCACTCGTGACACTGATGTCGTCATGATTCCCGTTCGACTCTGGCAGGCATCTAGTTCTTGGAGCAAACCAAAATCCTAGGTTCCAAACTATTTGTTGGTCGAAACGCTCAGAACTTGGTTCGCAAACAGGTTGAAATGTGGTATATGAACAATACACACTGCCTGACCTGCTTCTTGTGTTTCTGTCTTAACTTTCTTGTTTTATTGCCAAAACCTTGTCCTGGCCTGGTTTAACCCCCTTTGGCCTTTGTCTGGTTTAACCTCGTTTGTCCCTGCAGTGGCCAGAGGGCTGTTGTCACAGTTAGGGCTGTTGTTGTTAGCAGTTAGCTCGGTGTAAAGCTGACAGGGCCTCTATAGACTACGTGTTGACCGAGTACGTTCCACTGTTCTCTCTGTGCATGAGTGTGTATGCGTGTGCACCTGTGTAATGTGCTTTGACAGCTGTCTCTGCCTTTGTCCTCTCTCTCCAACTTCTTCAGCTGCTGAGTTGCATGAGAGGGATAAAAGAAAAATGGAGCAGCTGACTTTAAGGAAGGGCACCAGTTTACCTCTATTTAACAGCTAATGCACACACCCACACATTTGTAGAACTATGTTTGTAAGGACGTTCATTGACATGAAGCGTTCCCTGGGCCCTAACACCTAACCTAAACTTTATTCGAAGCCGAACTCTAAAACAAAGTCTTAACCCTCAAAGGTGTGTCAGAAAGTGAGGATCAGCCAACATCCCCATTTTCCCAAAATCAAATCAACATTTACTTGTTATAGCACTTTACAGCACTTGACAGATTGACCAAAGTGCTTCACAGACAATAAGATAAAAACAAAACAATAAAATAGTATAAGCAATCAACAATAAAATCACAAGAGGCAGAAAGTTAAGAAGTCAAAAAACTCTACTGGGAGTTAAAAGCCAATTTAGATAAGATTTAAATGTATTTTTTTTAAAGGAAGCAAGATCTGAAATCAGTTATAGCTTAAGCAGTAAAGTGTTCTATAACTTCGGGGGCAGCGACAGCAGGAGCCTGCATTCTGCATTATGCACAACTTTCCCAAAATGTCTTCACTCCTGTGGTATAAAACTCAGTCCGGTCCTCACACTGTAGAGCTGTACAGTTACACACAGAGCCCCCAGTGGGTGTTATGAGGGGAGAAAATAATTAGGTGTTTTACTCTGACAAGACTTGTCAGCGCATAGAGTGTAATATGTGGGTATGTGTGTGTTAGAGAGAACCGGTCTGGTGAGACTGAGTGTGGGCTCTGTGGTTGTTTGTCGTGATTATGCTCATGTTATCATGTCTTGGGAAAAGGTGGTGTTTTTGAACGGTGTTTATGAGGACAGACAGACTAACAGAAAGACAGATGGTTCTCCAAGGGTGTCTGGGTGGTACTGCACACTTGATGTGGGAGGTTCTGTGTGTCAGAGCATATTTCGGTGTCGGCTGAATTTTTTTTTTTTTTTTATACACTGACCATGTCTCGGTGTCTTTTGTCTCTTCATCTGATCCCAGACTGACTCCATGATGTTGACATCAGGGCTCTGTGGGGGCCAGACCATCTGTTGCAGGATTCCTGGCTCCTCTTGTTCTTTATAACTCTGGCTGGATGTTTGGCCTCATAGTCAGGATACAGGATAAATTTGGGACAGATTCGATGCCTCCCTAATC